AGCTCAAATCTACCAAACGATAATTAAACCAAACACATCCCCGAGAACTATATACACAAGGCTGATGTTTTTCTCCTACAAAGAGACAGTGTTCTGCTTTGGAAGACAAGAGTTATCACCACACTTACGAAAAAGCTGGGTTATCCTTGTAGTCTTCCATAGCGACCTTCTCTAATTCTGGTCCCCCTTCAGCCACGAACCTAGCCAGCTTTTCCACCACTTGTCGGGTCTCCGCATCCTCTGGGGGTAAAACTTTAAGCAGGCTGTCAGTACTGGGGTTCAACTCACACACCAAACAGGCAACAGGTACATTACTTCTAAGAACCACGGCGGCAGACAAAAGTAGAACGGGAATGGGAAGAAAAAGGATGAAATGGGGGATCCAGTCTTACACAGCTGTACAAATTACAATCCCTAGGTTACTGTCAGCCTCTGCACTCCCCTAGTAGGAAGTTAATACTTTGTCTAAATTTTTCCTACAAGGAAAAGCCCAAGATTTGGATCACCAAGGTTTAGGGTGCAACTTCAGTTGCAACATAATTTGCTTCTGACAATTCTACTCCATACAGAACACGATGGGGAGGAACAGGAATTTGGTTTTAACAACCACATTACTCACTAAAGATTACAGATTCCAGTTCCCAAGACATCGCTCCGTACCCAGATAGCAGAGACAGATTGTGTAGCCAGAGCACATAGTTCTTCCTACTGGCATATGCCCATGTCTCAACCCTCGCTTGGAGGGAATCCCACCAGAGACAAGAGGAGAGCTCAGTCTCCAAGAAACTGTATTTTGGCTTCTGTGCCAAGAAAGGAACCCGCTAACACTGACAGCGATTACAGAGCTGATGCAGGACACATTCAATGGGAACTAAACACAGGCGTTTGTCTAGACAACAATATTTTGGGTAGGGCGCTGAACAAAGAGCACACAGGAGCAGAGCTGTCCACGCTTGATCTAGACTAGATTCGAACCCACGATCTTTAAATTAAGGGTCCGCATTCCGTCTTTGCTCTCTGCAGCCAGTGGCTACTTCTCACATTCCTGCAGTGCATTTCACGCTTAAGTTCAGACTTGCTAAGATTATGCTTTTATAAATCCCACCAGAAACAGCTAGACATGTTTTTGTAAATAGATAATGAAATAAATTATGACACAAAGCTTAGTGTGCCTTATTTAGCAACTCCAATCTAATTTTATACTTGATTAATATACACTCATGGAATTCAGATTATTAAGCAAATCTGCCTTCTGGCCTCCTAGCCTAGGTTATCCAGAGAAACTTGGTTATTTAAGTGCTGCAATATTCTTCATTGGTTTTCTATCCTACTTAAAGCAGTCAGGACCTAGAGGTGAGATTTTCTAATGAAACTTTGAAAAGAGGCAGGAACTTTGATTTTACCTGGTCATAGTTCCATGCCTTACACGTAATCTTATTTATGAACACATACAATTTTTCCCCCTACGCAGCCACACTCAAACCTTTTCATTTTCTGTCATTCAAATAAACTAAAATTCCATTTTAAATAGAAGCATTATATCTATATATGTTCTAAAGAACTCAGCACCAGCCACAACAGATTTCAATTGTACAAAAGCAGAATTATTATGATTAGCAAACAATCAAGCTCCATTAAAATGGATTTTAATCCATTAAAAGTAGAACGTATTTCTTCTCTACGCCTTATTTTTTTCCACAGAGACTTATAGGCTGGTCAAGCGCTTGCCTTGATAACTCAAATAAATCTAGGCACAAACCAGACCCCGTCTAACTATGGTGAGTGACCCATCTCCCATACCGAGTGCAGGCTGGATAAGTAATATCTAACAGCATTCAGTCCTCAGCTTTTCTGCTGAAGCTGGCTTTGGAGGAGTCCACCAGCATTAACTGGTGTCATTTATACTTCATGACGCAGAAGTCTGCACGCAGGAACCGCGCTAAGAATACCAATTCACGGCGTGAGGAAAAAAAACCCAACCCTCTACTGGGGAGAAGATCCTCCTATCACTAGGGTAAGCGGGCCCGCACCCCAAAACAATGTAGCACAAGGTGTCATTTACCTTTAATTTCCAACCACTGCTCATAATCTTCCTCCTCATCTTCATCTGGCGACTGAAACACACTGAGGCGGTTAACGACTGGGGTCTGTTTGGAATGGGAGTAGTTCTTCGCTTGGTGCAGCATGCTGCTCAGGACCTGACCGGGGCGCTTCCCAAACAGCATAGGTTTCTTCCCAGCATTTGATGCAGAAGCGTTTGCCGAGTTACTAGTAGAACTTGGGGGAGGTTCTTAGAAAAGAATGAGGGGAAAATAATTCCTGTGCATCCTTACTGTTTTCATCTCAGAAGGTTACAAATAACAACTCAGGCAGTAAATACAGTTGCAATAGGCCGTTATTTTCAGAGTAAGTTAAAGACACCGACTGGTAAAAGCTGCATAATGAAATGAAAGCTGTGATGACTTTTACAAAGCGAGTTTCTCTCATCTAGAAGAGAGATGGATGCTTGTTT